AAGTGGGTTGCTTGTTTTTTTTCTTGTGAAGTTGTTTGAGTTCCGTATATTCTGGATTAATCCTTTGTCAGATGTATATTTTGCAAATATTTTCTCCCACTCTGTTGGTTGTCTTTTAACTCTGTTAATTGTTTCTTTTGCGGTGCAGAAGCTTTTTAGTTTGATATAATCCCATTTATTTATTTTTCTTTGGTTGCCCGTGCTTTTGGGGTCATATTCATGAAGTCTGTGTCTAGTCCTATTTCCTGAAGTGTCTCTCCTATGTTTTCTTTAAGAAGTTTTATTGTTTCAGGGTGTATATTTAATTCTTTAATCCATTTTGAGTTGACTTTAGTGCATGCTGAAAGTTACGGGTCTAGTTTCATTGTTTCCATTTCTGAGAAAAATGTCATTGGAATTTTGATGGGGATTGCATTAAATTTGTATATCACTTTGGGTAGTACAGACATTTTCACTATGTTGATTCTTCCAATCCAAGAGCATGGGATATTTTTCCATCTTCTTCATTTTGGTTTTTTAAAAGATAAAAAAATATATCTTTTATTTCTCTTCAAGACTTTCTATCTTTCCATTCATTTCAAGAGTGTCATCCCTTACTTTTTAGAGCATAATTATGATAGCTTCTTTAAAGTTTTTGTGTGATAATTCCAACAGCTATGTCATCTCTTCATTGGAGTCTGATTATCTTTTCCCATGTAATATGTTGAGATTTTCTTAGTTCTTCATGTATTTAGTAATTTTGTGTTGTATTCTTGACATTTTGAATATTACGTCCTTTGTCACTGGATCTAATTTAAATCTTGTGGGGATTGTTGATTTTTTATTTTATCAGGAAATTGACCCTGCTAAATCCAGGCCACAGGTTCTACCCACTTTCTCTGATCTGTGGTTCCTATGTCAACAAGCTTCCAAAGCTTTTGTAGTGGTATATAGATCTGTTCTGCATGTGTACACCCAGAGACTGGTCTGGGACCTGGGCAGTATTATACCTTCTGTCTCAGTTCTCAAAACTGAGGAATGCTGATTAGGGACACATCCACACATATGCAGCTCAGAGATGAATCCAGAAGTTCATTCACAACTTTATTGAACCGTTTTCTTGATCTCCTTAATCTCCCCAACACTTCTCTTTCTGGTTTGCACTCCCTACAACTGCAACTGCCTCCAGGGCCAAGAGGCAAGAGGATATACAATGAAATAACAGCGGGGATACCCCTTGCTCTTGGGATCACAATACCTCTTGTTAGAGAGAAGAGTTCTCTCCCAGGCCAGGGGATACCAGAGGAAAAACAAAATAGGAAACTCAGTGATGGTTCAGTGGTACTTTGAGTTATGGTTTCCTTTCCCAATTTGCGTGATGCCACTTGCATTCCAAAGTTTTCCAATAGCTCTTCCATGCATGTTGGGCTACGCCCGGGCCGCCAGCCATTTTGGGAAAGTACCTCAGCCATTTTAAACTTGCTTCGGGCTGATTCTGGGAAACCGAAACCTAAGCGGAGAACTCAAAACTTAAAAGAACTAACTTCCGGGGTACGGTGACTCTGCACTTTTTTCCCGCCTGCCCTGTCCTCACCCCTTCTCCCGGGTAGCAGTGTGTCAACTCCCTATTGGATAAGAGCTCCCCCGCCCCTGGTACCTTATAAAAACCCCTGCTTGCTGTAATAAACAGAGTTCCGGCTTTGACCGCTCTCCTGGCTCGGTGTTCTTTCTTTGTCCCCGGGGCCGAAGCGCAGAGGGGATCGGGCCTGCGACACTCATCATCCCGCTCAGCCCCACAAGAGGTTACCGCTGGCTGGTCCGGGGTCCCTTCCCGCCCTGTGTTGTTGGTCCCCGGTGGCGAGGAACCAACACATGCATTCTCTCCAGAGTTTTTACCTGTATTCAGTAGGAAACACAGGGTAAAGTTCTTATCATTTTGACCAGAGCCCAGTAATCTCAGTGTCATTTTAATTTACATTTCTCTTATCATTAGAGAGTTTGGTCATCTTTTCATATTTTTTGGGGGGGAGCCTTTTTATATTACTTTGGGGGGATTATGTTTTATCTTTTTTCCCTAATGTTAAATAGTGATTAAATATTAATAAATTTTAAATTTATTGATTATAATGAATATATTATAAATAAAATATAATGCTATTTATATTAATATATTAATAAAGAGATATATATTGGCCTTTATCTGAGATGGATGTTGAAAATATTTTCTTACAGTTTTTCCATTGTCTTTTGATACTGATAATATATGTTTTCCTTTTTTATTTTTTATTTTTATTTATTTATTTATTTTTTCCTTTTTTCATGACCGGCAACGGATCGCAACCCTCAGTGTCGCGCCCGTACCGGACCGGGACCGGCAACGGGATCGCAACCCTCAGTGTTGCGCCCGCACCTCGCTCAGCCAGTGAGCGGCCGGTCTGTATGTGGGATCCGAACCCTCGGGGGGAGCGCCGCCGTGCTCCCAAGCGGTGCACTGTAGCAGTGCGCCACCGGGCCGGCCCTATGTTTTCCTTTTTTAAAAAAGTCAAATTTATCATTATTTATTTTATTGCATCTGGATTTTGAGTCATTGATAGTTTTTCCTTTCACCGAGGTTAAAAAGGAATTCACATTTATCAATATTTCCTTCTAGAGCCTGTATGGTTTCTTTTTTCCAATTAGATCTTTAGTCAGTTTGGAATTTAATGTTGTATATGATGTGACATGTGGATCTAAATTTTATGTTTTTCAAAAGTGTTTCAGAGGTCTCACAGCCCTCTCGAGTTTGTGTGTGTGTGTGTGTGTGTGAGAGAGAGAGAGAGAGAGAGAGAGAGAGAGAGATTCCAAGGAATTGCATTACAGCATTGTAGGAGCTGGCTAGGCAAGTCCAAAATCTGTAGGGCATGCCAACAGACTGGAAATTCCTGGGCAGGAGCTGGTACTTCTTCCTCAGGAAAACCTCAGTTTTGCTTTTAAGACCTTTCAACAGATTGGATAATGGCCACCCAGGTTACCTGGGACAATCTCTTTTACTTAAGGTCAACTGATCATCTACAAAATACCTTCACAGCAACACCTTGGTTAGTGTTTGAATAACTAGTTAGCTCTTACAACGTTGAGAAGTTAGAAGCTATGACTTTAACGTAATTATGATGAGTCTTTTACATACTTAGGCCCTTGTAAGGAGAATATTTTATGTATCTAGGTCCGTTTCAATCTCTCTCTTCAACCATCCTTTTTTTTTTTTTTTTTTTTCCTAAAAGATGACCGGTAAGGGGATCTTAACCCTTGACTTGGTGTTGTCAGCACCACGCTCACCCAGTGAGCTAACCGGCCATCCCTATTGGGATCCGATATCCCTATTGGGATCCGATCCCGCGGCCTTGGTGTTATCAGCACCGCACTCTCCCGAGTGAGCCACGGGCCGGCCCCCAACCATCCTTTTTTAATACCACAGTCCAATTCCCATTCCCAACCCTCTGGAATCTACACCCCTCATTGCAGAATGAGACATTTCCTTCCTTCTTGTGTCTCGCAAACTTCAGTATCTCAAGCTTGACCAGACTTTGGGACTGCAAAGGGAGAGGTGAAGTGTGGTCCAGGAGAATGGGTACATCCAATCTGGTTCAATTATCCCCAAGGAAGCACAGTGACTTGATTTCCTGACCAGTTCCCTAGGAAGTACGTACACCACTCCCAAATCAGCATTAATTTCATTCAATAACAACACATTCTTCTCTCAAATGTGACCCCCAGTATCATTTGTTAAGGAGCATTTGACTTCCTGATTCTGGCTTGCAGGCATCCTGACATTAGCTAGCATTATTTTAGCCAGCAAGGATAATGTAATCCAACTCCAGACCTCTCTCCTAATAAAACTGGGGAATGAGACAGGGTGTGCGTGGGTAGGTCTCAGTTCCTGCTGCAGGAGACCCTCAATAAATGTTGAATTAAATGCAATTTACTTTTATGTGTTGGGGTATCATGGATGGTCTTCGAATAGCGATTAGATTTCCATCCGGTGTCAATACATGATTCCTCAAAATAAATAAGCGTCATATTTCAAAATAGGAACTTCGTACTTCCTAACGCAGATATCTTGGAGGTGATTTGCACAGAAGAAACGCATAATTGGTACTCACTGAAATTTCATTGTTAGCAGCGCAACATCAATCATATGGCACCTAGTTCAGGGCTCTGTGGATAAGTTGATGCAAACAGAATTTTATCGCCTGAAACGGTGGCAACTTTGTCGTTCTGAAAAGGAGAGCGTCAAGCCTTTCAGAGGGAATCGGGTGGGATTCCTTTGAGCTGCGGCCTGCAAGCCCCGCCCATACACCTGAGCTGTCTTAATCACGCCCCGGCCTAGGTGAGGAAGCGAAAACCACTTTTCCCAGCGGGCCCTGCAGCCTCCCGCGCCTGCGCACTAGGGCGCAGGAAGACCGGCGGAACTCCCGCGCTCTCCAGCCACCTCACCTCACCTCGCCTCGCTTCTCTTTCCCTGGTCGCTGCCCGGGCTATGGAGGGGGTCGCAGTGGTGACGGGGGGTAACGCGAGCGCTGCCAAGGCCGAGGGAGTCACAGCCGTGCCGCCCCCGCCTCCCGTCTCCCCGCCTGCCCTCACCCCGGCGCCCGCAGCCGGTGAGGAGGCCCCGGCGCCTCTGCCCGAGGCGGGGGCTCCCGGCTGCTCGGGTTCCCGGCCCCCGGAGCTGGAGCCGGAGCGCAGCCTGGGCCGCTTTAGAGGCCGCTTCGAGGACGAAGACGAGGAGTTGGAAGAAGATGAGGAGCTGGAGGAGGAGGAAGAGGAGGAGGAGGAAGAGATGAGCCACTTTTCGCTGCGGCTGGAGGGGGGCCGGCCGGAGTCCGAGGACGAGGAGGAGGTATGGCTGAGCCCCCGCCTGACCACGCTGGGCCTGAGTCCTCTGGAACGTAGCCTGCCCTCGGCGGTCCGGCCCGGGCGACCCCCAGCTCGCCGCTACAGCCCTTGGCACTTGCGTGGACCTCCACCCCTCCCGGCCCGATTCTCGGCCGACTTATTCTGTGAGGTTCCTGCAGCTCTCCGGGCCCGGCTTCTTCGTTCTGTGTACAATTATTGAAGCTACTACGTGCCTGGCGGCATAGGCGTCTAGGGTACCTTACCCCTACCCTCCGGTAGTTTACAGCCGGACAGGGAGAAATACTGTAATCGCTTTCTATAGGGTGTTGAGAGGAGGATAACCCTTCCCCACCTAGTCAATCGCTAATTGGAAAGATTTTTTTTTTTTTTTTTAACGTGGTAGCGTATTCTTCATGACGCTAGGTAGTACACCTAGCCGGTCAGAACTACCAATATCTGGAAAGTTTGCCCATTTTGTAAGTAATTCATAAAGTATGATGCCCCTCACTGGCAATATGCAGTGTATCCAAGAGAATGAGATCCTTTTTAAACATTGGTTTATATGGTTATTGTAACTTTCAGCTGTATTTTGAAAGGTTGGAAGTATATGTTTCCATGTTGCAATTAAGTTACAGTGTTTATAATGAAAATTTGAGGTTATGGTTTAAGAATTTGCGAAGGCAAGGACTTGTATTTTAAAACTATTTCCATTGTATTTTCCAGCGCCTGATTAACCTCTCCGAGCTAAACCCATACATCTTGTGTTCCATTTGCAAAGGTTACTTAATTGATGCAACTACCATTACAGAATGTCTTCATACCTGTAAGCATACAGTTCATATTTCTGAATAATATTTTCAATCTTTGAAATGTCCTGAAAGCATCTTAATTTAAACATTTTCTTTTTTCAACAGTTTGTAAAAGCTGCATTGTAAGACATTTTTACTATAGCAACAGATGTCCAAAATGCAACATAGTAGTACATCAGACACAACCTCTTTATAACATAAGGTAAGAGGAATATATAAGTAACAATTGTGTTTTAAGTGTGTTTTTTCTGAAAGCTTGAAGTGTGTAGTTGGAATAAATTCTTGACCTCCCTCAAAATTAGAAGAAAGGGAACTACATATTCTTTTAAGAAATACTTATTGAACACTTACTATGTACCAGGCACTGTGATATCTGCTGGGGACTTAAAGAAAAAAGAGGCATGGACCTCTTTTCCTGAGAATTTTAATCCCATCAACAAAGTTAATGAGACTAGTTTAGGCTTGTCATTTTCAGTGTATTCAGAATTCTGTTTTTTTAGAAGTAATATTTGAAACAATTGACCTCTTTAGAAGCCTATTTGTCATGGGTCATTGTGGCTTATTAATCAAATTTTCAGTTTATGCTCAGTTTTTTAAAAGAAGAAAAATTCTAAAAGTAGATTACTTCCATTCATTCAGCAGATACTATTAAGTTTTTATTACTTCATAGATGAGTGCTTTGCAGATGATACACAGTTTAAAATACTCACATTCTTATTAAAGGAATAAGACCAGTACACAAAGAACAATTTAGTGAACAGTTCAAGAATCGATGAGTACTTATAATTATCACATATAATTACTTGAGGTTCTCTCAGGTAAGTTGTCTTGGGCACTGTGAGTACTACCTAGAAGTAACTTGCCTCTGAGAAAGGAGATATCCACTCCAAAGAGAAAACACAGTTAACTACACAGTTAACTCACTCTGTATGAAAATGCATTTTCTGAATTCTGAGGTACTCTCCATCCTTTCCTTTTATTAGGTTGGACCGACAGTTACAAGACATAGTGTACAAATTAGTGATCAATCTAGAGGAAAGTAAGTTTCTTTTATTACATAGTTGTGAATCCCAGAATCTCTGGCTCTACTAGTTATCTTTTAAGTGTAATTTAGTCTGTGTTTTATCATTTTTTAGGAGAAAAAAAGCAAATGCATGATTTCTATAAAGAAAGAGGTCTAGAAGTACCTAAACCTGGTAAGTTTGGGTGTATACCATAATGTATTTATAGATTAAAGAAAACTAACTTAAAATTTGTGCCCTTTGAGGTTCCTTTTGGGTATAGCTGGTTATATGACCAGAGAGAGAAAGGTTTTGAAGATAATTCTGTGGTGTAATCCAATTTAATGGTTTATAAGAATTAAACAGTGCAGGCTCTGGAGCTAGATTTTCTGAGTATGTTCCTAGGTCTGCCACTTTACTAGGTATGTGACTTTAGCAGATTACTTCAATGTCTCAGTTTCATCATCTATAAAATAGCAATAATAATAGCACTTTGAAAAAAAAAATGCATTGAGTAATACAAGCACTTAAAACAGTGCCTGGCACATAGTAACTGCTCAAACATTAGTTTTTATGATGATGGTAATGTCACAGTATGGAAATCAGTAGATTTGGGTTTAAATCTTCGTTCTTCCACTTACTATGTAGATGACTTTAGGCAAATTGCTTAATCTGGCTAAGCCTCAATTCTTTATCAGTTAAAAGAAAAAAAGAGTAGCAATAGTACCTATATCATGGGATTATAATAAGAGTTAAATGAGATGATGCATGAAAAGTACTAAGCATAAGCCCTGGCACATAGTAGTGCTTATGAAGGGTTGTCTACAAATGTTGCTGTTCTGATGAGCTCTCTCTGTGGCTCTGATAAATCAGCCACACATATCTTCCTTCCATTGCGGAATGGTCCCCAATCTTGCCACTAATTTAACTGTCTTGGACAGATTAGGTGATGTTATTAAAGAAAGGGATATTAAGTACTTTATGGTCTTTTAAATAGTCAACATAGTTATAATACCAGTGTAATTATTTTTTTAAAGATCTTAATTTATGAAATTTTTACTCTAACTTTTTTTTTTTTTTGGCTGTCACACAGCTGTTCCACAGCCAGTCCCTTCGAGCAAAGGAAGATCTAAGAAAGTTCTAGAATCAGTGTTTCGTATTCCACCTGAACTTGATATGTCTTTATTACTGGAGTTCGTTGGGTGAGTACCCCAAAAATCTACCTTAAGTCCTGACAGTTATGAAAACATCCTGAATTCAGATAAAATAAGGTTTTCTGACATCCCTTTAAAAATTAATTATGAAATATTTAAGACTTCGAAAAAAGTTATAGAGTAGTACAATAACCACTGGTATCCCCACCATGTGGCTTAAGAAATAAACCATTGCTAGTATAGCTGAAACCCTTGGCTACCTCTTCCTGTTTATTCTGCCTTCCTCAGTGGTTAATAACCACTCTCCTAAAAGTAGTTTGTCATTTTCATGCATTTTTAAAATGTTTACCACATGTAAGCAATATGTAGAATTTTTTTTGCCCAATTTAAAAACTTTAAATGGTGTACTGTGTTTTCCAACTTGCTTTTTTCACTCAGCATTGTGTGATGCATCCATGTTGAAATTTGTATCTCTGGTTTACTCATTTTCATCATTGCCTTGTTTTCTTTTAAAATAATATATCATAATTTATCTTTTTTGTACTGTTGAACATTTAGGTTGTTTCCAAGTTTTTGTTTTTTTGGAGTTTTTTTTTTGCTATTATAAATATTGCTAGAAGCATTTTTGTACATATCTCCTTGTGTATATCTGAGATAGTTCTCTAAGAGTATAGATTTGCTGAGTCTTAAGATATGTTCTTCTTAAACTTTACTTGACTTTGCCAAATTGTTCCGAAAGTTGTTAGTTATCTTTCTAATTTAAATGAATTGTTTATTTCAAACACTGTGGCAAATGGTGTACTCCATTATAGTTTAACATTGTTAAACTATAATGATCACAGAGTTGGCATGTATCAAACTATAGTTTTCAAATACTGTACTAAAATGCCTTTCTTGGAAAAATCTAGATTTCCCATTTTGTGTCAATGATGACTAGTGTACTTCTCAATCACTTTTTCCTTATAACTCTAGGCTGCCTGTATCATTTATTTAGTATCTAGCTTGTGCTATATTGTATTTTTCTCTTCATGTATTTATCCCATGTTCTCAACTGTTAAGAACTCTAAGAGGCAGGAAACCTTTCTTATGCCTCTAAAAAGCCCACATAGTAGTGGTTGATGATAATGAAATAGAGATCTCTTTGGAGGAATTAGAAGAAACTGTGTAATTCCAAAATTTGATCCAGCAATTTCTACTATTAAAGAGTGTGCTCCAACCTAAATGTTCATAAGGGGACTGCCAATAATGTTATATTCACACATGACTATGTGCTAGTATAATAATGTGTGTGCTGATGTGGTACAATCTCCAAGATGTATTAAGTGGAAAAAGCAAGGTGCAGAAGAACAAGGTACATACACCATGTGCCCATTTATATTTTTTATTTTGGGGGAGGGGGTGGCAGAGGTATGGGGATCTGAACTCTTGACCTTTGTGTTGTCAGCACCATGCTCTTAACAGAGTGAGCTAACCAGCCAATCCTTACGTTTTTAAAAAGAGGGTGGTGAGAAATAGGTACATATATGTAATTTTTTTATGTACACAGACCATTCCTGAAAGGACATATAAGAAAATATTAATGGTAGTTGCTCCTAGAAAAGGGCACTGGAGTCTAGGATGGAAAAAGTCTTTTTAGTGTATTTGAATTTTTACCATGTAACTCAATTTTTAACAAGACTAGTTAATTAAAATTTGAAAATTGAAAGGAACTTTTATATATATATGTGTGTATATATATATATAATTTATTTATTTAGTTAGTTAGTTAAAAGGGCACTGGAGTCTAGGATGGAAAAAGTCTTTTTAGTGTATTTGAATTTTTACCATGTGACTCAATTTTTAACAAGACTAGTTAATTAAAATTTGAAAATTGAAAGGAACTTTTATATATATATGTGTGTGTATATATATATATATATATAATTTATTTAGTTAGTTAGTTAGTGAGTGAGTGACTGGCCTGTACTGGGATCTGAACCCTTGGCCTTGGTGTTAAAACACCATGCTCTAACCAGCTGAGCTAACCAGCCAGCCCGGGAATTAATATCTTAAAAAAAAAAAATTATGAGGGGGAAATGTAACCTTTTCCACTAATGCACAGAGGAACTTGGAATCACTTTCTTTGAAAAGTGGCATATTGTAATGCAGGATGGCAAATATGTGATGGGTATGCCACCATTTCCTCTTTCTTTACAGCAGTAATAATTAATCATGGCAGGCTTTCCTAATGAGTGAGACTTGGCCCCAGTGCCCAAGGCAGACATTACCAGTTAACAAAGCTGTTACATTATTAACACATTCCTGCTGCAGAAGAAAGAGCCCTGACTTGGAATAAAGAGATCTGGATTCAAATCCTAGCTCTGTAACCTTGAACAAATTGCTTTTTGTTTATTCATAAGATATATATTAAGGTCCTGCCATATACCAGTACAGCATTATAGTAGGTGCTGGGGAATACAGTTTGAATGAGTCAACATGGTCCTTGCCCTCTTTAGTTTTCAGTTTAACTTCTCAAAGCTTCAGCTTTCCTATTTGTAAAATGAGAAAATTGAACCTTTTATATTGTTAGGTATGATGGGCATTATGTCTACTTCATAGTAGAGTCCGTTATCTGTCGGTTAAGTTGGGGAGGAGCTTCCTGTGGCGAGGAGTCCTTTTGAAGTCACCAGTTTCTTGGGTTAAATCCCCATGTTTTCGTCACATGGAAAACTGTGTTCACAAAAGTCAGCCTACTGGGGTAACCCATAGGATGCTCTTTCATGACAGGACAAGTAGCAGATGAGTTTTCACCTGATGCAAGTACAAGGGCAAATTTGATCTAGCTGGTAACCCTGCTTGAATTAGAGAAGGAAAAATACTGAAGTAGGCTCAGCCAGTACACAGTAATTTTTCACCCACTGGAATATGAAATTATATTTTTCCCCTAAATTGAGTATGCATGTTTTATGATCTTAAGATAGTCTCTTATCCTTTTTGTTCTATAGTTTCTACATGTAAAGTAGATTATAAAAAGAAATCACCTAAGACAGGCAGTACAGTGTGTAGAAAGAACAAAGGTTTTGCAGAGTCTAACACAAGGTATGTAACCCTTGGGTAGGATGTAACTTAACTTCTCTGATCTGATCATCAGTTTCTGTATTTCTAAATTTAGGATTGTAATAGCAACTCACAGGATTGTTGTAAGAATCAACATATGGTATTCTTAACATGTCTCAGCTATTATCAATATATGAATATTGAAATAAAGCAGGGTCATTCAAAAATAAAGATTAAAGGGGCCCATGGTGCTATGATATGTATAGTATCTGTGCACTAAGGAAAATGGACTCATATGAGATATGTGTGATATGGCAAAAATTTAACGCAATTTTAAGCTTAGTGGTGTTTAGTAAGCCAGGGTTATTAGTAAGTTAATATCTCACTGTATGCTATGTTAGTCCAACTAGAGTATTGTATTTAGCTCTGGGTACCACATTTTAAAAGAGATGTTGGTAAACTGAGATATAATCAGAATAGTAAAAGGTTTGAAAAGGTGTCATGTGGTAGTGGAAGGAACAAAAATATTTAGCCTGAAAAAGAGAAAGAAAATAAATCCTTCAAGTTAGTTTCAAGTCTGTAGAGGGTTATCACATAAAAGAAAGATGGGTCTAGTTCATCAAAAGGTAAAACTAGGATCAGTAAGTATAAATTACAGAAACGTGTTTGATTCAGTGCAAGCAAATAATTTCTAACAGTGGCCCACAAGTAGAATGGGCTGACTTGTCAGTTAAGAAACTCTCTCTTTAGATATTCAGGCAGAAGCCAGATGCCTATCTACAGTGCATTCTACAGAGATCATTCTTGTAATGAATGGGATGTTTTATTTTACAACTGTAAGATTACATTATAATCTTAGGTTTATATTATATTTGTGTGTGTTTTATATTTATATGTAATGTGTATATTTATAGATTTATATTTATATATTAATACAATTCTATATTATGCAAATAATGTTTATACTATATAATTTATAGACATGTATAATATATAAATTACATATTATATTTATATACAAGGGGCCGTCAAAGAATTCATGGAAAGATTTGTATGATCTTTTTTTTTGGGGGGTGGCTGGTACAAGGATGGAACCCTGGGAACTGGTGTTTTCAGCACCACACTCTAACCAATTGAGCTAACCAGCCGGCCCTGGTATTATCTTTTAATTCTGTTTTTCCTTGAATTTTCAAAGTTCCCTTGTATATGTCAATATTTTTATTATAAAGAATATTCTGGAGGTGATGCGATTGTTATCTTTCCTGTTCTTCATAACATAATAGGGAAGAAAGAACATGGGCTTTGATGCTAGGCACAGCTGAGTTTGAAGCCCAGCTTTACCACTTCCTAGCTATGTGTGACCTGAAGCAAATTGTTAAACCTGCCTGAGCTTAATTTTTCTCATTTGTAGAATGGAGATACCTGATTTGCAGGGCTATCGTAAGGACTAAATGAAAAGCATGCATAATATATGAAGGCCTACTATAATGCCTGGTACATAGTAGATGGGCAACAAAAGTTAGCACTTTTTGTCTCCCTCATGACTGAAAAGTGATTGATTTAATCAAGAAAAATCTTTAGACTTCTAAGTGAACGACAAAGTAAAATTTTGCCCATGTGATTATGCTACAAGTAAAACAACAGGGACTATAACAGCCTTCTTGTAAGAAATCTTACCTTGTGAAGATTACTACAGAGGGAAAAACCACATTAATTATGGTTTTAAAAAAATAAATTGTACTTTAAGCTGGAAAATGTTAGAATGCAAGGTGTGGAGAAAATCTAAATATTAAGAATTATATATATTTTTGGAGATCTGTTTACAGCATGACTACTGTTAATAATATATTCTATACTTGAAAATTGCTGAGGGTAGGTCTTAAATGTTCTCACCACAAAAAAATAAGTATGTGAGGTGACGGATATGTTAATTTGCTTGATTTAATCATTTTACAATGTACACATATATCAAAGCATCATTTTGTACACTGTAAATATATAGTTTTTATTTGTCAATTATAACTTAATAAAGCTGGGGAAAATAAGTAAATAAACATAAAATTCTGATATGTTTTTCATCAAAAAAATATAGTATTAACTTCTAAAATTAAGTATAGAAAGTAGTATAAAATACTGGATAAAACTGCGTTTGCCTTACCCCACTAGGCAGCAGAAATGACAATTACATTTGTTTATTTCATAAAGGTTTAGGTGACCATGTTTTTAAAATTAAAATAAATTGATGTTTCTCAAATATTTATATTCATGTTATTTTTCTATTGTTTTATGACTAAGCATATAGTTTAAGTTATTAAATATTGTTTAATTTTGCTCTCATTTTTCAGTGCTAATGAAGGCACGGGACACTTTAAGGTATTTTACTTTTATTTTTTGTTCATTTAACAAGAGGACTCTAGCACACAAATTTGAGTCAGATTAGCAACCAAATAGAGATTGTCTTCAATTACAATAAAAAATATTTTAAATAAATAAAGGTTATTGAAATATGAAATACATTCAATAATGTTCTCTTATAATAGGTTTATGAGGAAAAAAGTTATTAAGTAGAGATTTGTTATTAATTCGGAACAAAGGTCTAAGGAAAAATAAGTGAATAATTTTTAACTCTAAAACCAAATGCTATGTTAATTTGGTGATAAATGTTTCAAAGCATTTTTTGCATAGTTGGCACTTAGAGTTGAATAAGAGCTTAAAATTTTATTTGCGTGTAACATTTTTGGCTCAAGTTAACCTGCCCTAACTTGTTACTGCAGACATTCACTGAGATTTTAGAGGTAAGAATGAACTCCTTTGAAGTACTTTTAAGTTTAGAGTTGTCTTAAAAATCACAGGTGCCATTGTTATACATTGTAGCTTCTATAGTATAAGTCAGTCATTCAGGAAAAGGGGACTTTTTAAAAGGGATAAGTCAGGCCTTATAGTTACTTGGGATTGTAAGTATATAAAGATTAGGTGGCTTTGATCTGTTTGATTTTCAGTGACTTTGTCAAAGTCTATACTAAAAGTTGGGTGAATTATACCTGGTTGGGTATACTGTTTTGTTTTGTGAACACACTAGCTCAGAGACATGTATTAAAGGATAGGAATAGATGGGTACTTCTCTGGATGAAGATTATTATATACATCTCTCAAGAGATCAGTGTGATAGAGGGAATGCAGTGCTTAATTTTTTGGTAACTTTGAACCTCTTCTAAATTGTTCAATATCAAACTAATAGTGGTTAACTTAGTTTCCTAGCAGTGTGGTGGGTGAGAAAGTGGCAGATGAGTTTTTGTATGGTATGAGCACTGGGTTGTATATGCCCAGTGTTCCCTGAAGACATCTGTCCAAGGACCTGTAGTAGCCAGACAGAGCAACAGAGTTTTAAAACCTTATGAAGAGGGCCGACCCTGTGGCTCACTCGGGTGAGTGGGGCACTGGGAGTGCCGAGGCCGTGGGTTTGGATCCTATATAGGGATGGCCGGTGCGCTCACTGGCTGAACGCGGTGCGCGTGACACCAAGCCAAGAGTTACGATCCCCTTACCGGTCACACACACACACACACAAAAAAAAACCTCATGAAGAAAGGACTAGAAAATAAATTGAAGTATTAGCCTGCTGTTTCCACAAAAGCACATGTGCACCTAGAATATTTATGTAGTTCTGTCCTCACACATCAAAAAGCATGTAATGACAATACTACCTATGAAGTATTCTTGGCAAAACAAATGTGATGGCTTCTAGATTTAATTACTAATTAAAATTACTAATTACAGGAAATACAGGGGACAAAGGAACATGTTAAATGACACTGCTGGGATATAATAAACCAGATCTAGACAGTGGAAAACTACATGGCAAACAATTCTGTTTCTTCAGCAAATAAATTGAAAGGGAAAAAGGTAAAGAAGCAACCTGTAAATAGAACCTATCAATTAAAATTGCTCAAGGCATATATAAACTAATTGCAATGTATGAACCTTATTTGGATTTGTTTTGAAAATAAAATATAAAAAAAATTCTGAAATAACTAGCCCCAAATTGAAAACAACCCAAATATATATCATCACTAGCCCCAAATTGAAAACAACCCAAATATATATCATCTAATGAATACATAAGCAAAATGTGATATATCCATATAATGGAATATTATTTGGCAGTAAAGAGGAATGAAGTACTGATACATGCTATGACATGGATAAACCTTGAAAACATTATGCTGAGTGAAAGAAGCCAGTGGCAAAAGACCATTCATATATAGCACGATTCCATTTATATGAAATGTCCAGGACAGGGAAATCCATAGAAACAGGAAGTAGGTTAGTGGTTGACACAGGTGTTGGGGAGAGGCAAAGTGGGGAGTGACTGTTAATTGGTATGGTTTTCTTTTTGGGGCGATGAAAATATTCTGAAATTAGATAGGTGATGGTTGTACAACTTTGTAAATATACTAAAATCCATTGAATTGTACACTTATTGGGTTTTTTTGGTGGCTGGCTGGTATGGGAATCTGAACCCTTTACCTTGGTGTTACAACACCGCACTCTAACCAACTGAGCTAACCAGCCAGCCCTGAATTGTCCATTCTTAAAGGGTAAATTTAATGGTATGTGAATTGCATCTCAATACAGCTGTTAAAGATTTTTTTTAAATAACTAAGCCAAGATCAAATAGAAACATTGTAATTTATTCGCTGTAAACATTTTGGAAATATAAGAATGTATCTGGTAAAAATAATATATGTGTAAATTAGAATTTTAGTTTGCATTCATCTCTGGTTATATATTTTTAATAAAATCTTTGTTTTATTTTTTATTCTCTTGGTTATGACAGCCCTAAAAATCAAAATAATTTTCTACTACGTAAAAAAACAAAAAAGAGACAATTGGTGAAATTTGAACATTTACTAGATATTTTCCAATATCAAGGTATATTAAGATGATATTATACTTATGTTTTAAAAAGGAGTTCTTTTAGGGCCGGCCCGGTGGCGCATTCAGTAGAGTTCAGATCCCATGTAGAGACCGGTCCTCTCACTGGTTGAGCGCGGTGTGGGCGCGACACCAGGGGTTGCGATCCCGTTGCTGGTCGCGGTGCGGGTGCGACACTGAGGGTTGCGATCCCGTTACTGGTCACGAAAAAAGACAAAAAGGAAAAAAAAAAAAAGGAGTTCTTTTAGTGATACCTACTGAAGTATTTACAGATGAAATGGTATGTCTGGGATTTGCATCCAAACAAATCTGGAGAATGGGGGGCAAGAAGTAGTTAGGGCGGGAAATAAGTGAATATGTCTAAAACAAGACGAGTCTTGAGTTGATAAAGTAAGTGATAAGTGTATAGTAGTTCATTATACTATTCTCTCATAGTACTGAGACATTAAATTTTCAGTTTTAACTGATGATATAGATTAATTTTTAGGCTTTACGTCTGTAAGAGGTAATGAATGTATTATTTCAGAAACAAATGATCCTATTAACTGTGCATATTTGCATTGGTAAAACAGTCTTTTAACTTTCTTAGTTAACAAATCTGCAATCTTACCGCTTTTCTTTTTCTTTTGTATTTATAATAGGAGTTCTAGTTATAACTTTTGATATTATAGCTCGATAGTCCCTGTTACTTAAAAAGCATCTGTGAGTTCGTATAAACCTGTCTGACTAGAATGATGCCTGGAAAAAAAAAAGTTGTTAAACTTTTCATCATGTAGACTCTTGGCATGAAAGTCATAAATCCCAAGTGCTACATTCAATTTAAGAGTCTTTGACAAAGCAGTAATATAATCCAGAATAATTTTCCTAAGAGTCTCTTCTTTTTTTTTTTTAACTTCTTATTATGAAAATTTTTTAACATTACTAAAAAGTAAACAGAATAGAACCTCCATATATCCATCAGCAGTCTACCAATTATTAACTAATGGCCAATTTTATTTCTTCTTCACCTCCATCCACTTACCTTCCTTCTAGTATTATTTTGAAACAAATCCCTGTATTATGCTACTTCATCTATAAATACTTCAGTATTCTTAAAAAGATTAGTTTTTTTTTTTTAATGATCATGTATCATACCTAAAAAAAAAAGTTACTAAATGTCTGTCTCATGAAAGCTAAAAATAAGATGGCAGAACTATTCTACACTAACGGTGATAATAGAGACATGACAAATGCAATATGTGATCCCTCTTTAGATCCTGGATTGGAAAATAAGAACAGTTTGTAAAGGACATTGTTAGGACAATTTGAGAAATTTGAATATGGGTTTATTTAGATAATTACATGGTCTTAATGTTAAATTTCATGAATACTTCTATAAGTTTACTGATAATTGTAGTTATATAGGAGAATCTCCTTATTCTGAGAAGATAACTGATGATATATTTAGGGTGAAATATTTCAGTGTCTGTAAGTGACTTTCAAGTGGTCCGAGAAAAAAAAATATACACATGTGTACGTAGGAAGAAATAAAGCAAATACTGCAATATATTAACAGTTGGTGAACTAAGTGAAGGGTACTGGAGTGTTCATTATACTATTCTTACAACTTCTTTGTAAGTTTTTCGTTTTTCAAAAGACTGGGGATAGGGAATAAAAAAATGAACAATTTGTTATCAAATATCTAGTCAGTGTTTGAAATGTTAATTGTCTCAATTGTAGTATTTGTGTGTGTGTGTGTGTGTGTTTTAACACTTTAAGTCAGGATTCAAATAAAGTTCACACATTGTGATTGGTTGATAGGTCTAAGTTTTTGATGTTTTTCCTTGCAATTCATTGTTGACAAAACTGAGTCACTTGTCCTGAAGTTTCCAACAGATTTAATGTTGCATCTCTGTGGTTTAATTTAACATACTTTTCTGTCCCCTCTCTTTCCCATAAACTGATAGTTAAATATGAGTGTTGATCAGACAGGTTTGATTGGGGGGAGCAAGAATGTATCATAGGTGGTGCTGTTGTCATCCATCAGGAGGCACATAATGTCTGTCTGTCTCTTTGTAATGTTGGCAGCCATTGATGCTCAGTGTCTTAAGTCCATTGGTTTACTAGGGGTTGAAAAATGATAGTATCATTCCTTCTTTTTTTATTAGTTGAAATGATTCTATAAGGAGAAACTTCCCTTTGTTACCCAGTGATACAGTTCATATAGGAAAGGCAGGATAAATGCTTCCCTTTATTTACCAGTTTCAAAATAAGGGATTGGTTCACTAGCACACTTCAGTCATGGTCAAATTAGGTTTTGTTGTTTTTGTTTTTACTTTATTATGAACTCGTGGATTAAACATATTTGCGGTATAATCCATTTCAGTTATTATCTTTATTGATATTCAAATTGTCCCATCATATCATAGTCTGTGATAGCTTCCTTGCTATCTGATATGATAAGATGTTCCATGCTTACTCTGTACATCTCTTGCCCCAGACACGGAGTCAGTCATTTCTCTAAGGTGTCCTAGTTTGTTTGGGTGGTCACTGGCATTTTAAAATTATAGTCTGGTTTGTCTTGCTACTGGGTTGGTCACTGTTTCTAGGCCTTTTCAATTGACAGAGGAAGGAATATTTTTCCAAGTAAAATATATCATGAGTTGATGCTATCTTTTTACTTGAAAACAAAAAACAAACCAAAAAAAAAAAAAAAACTCGTTACAGATCTTAGACTAGCTTATTATTTCACCGTTCTTATCAAATTAACCTTTTGTGTTATATATGGCAGGAAAGATTGCCATACTTAATTTCAAAGAGGTTGGAGTCTTTGGAATTATTTTTTCTATTTATTTGCAGGTAGTAGGTGACTATTAGGTATAGCGGAAGAAATAAGTTGACCATCCAGTTGAGAACTGGTTTTGTATCCTTAAGCAGAAAAACCCAAAACCAAAAAAGACGACTTAACTTGCCATGGGATATGAGGACTAAGGTTGACCATGTAAGAACCCTAGTTTTGAAAGCCAAGGCTGATTTTTTTTTTTCTTCAGGTATTGGTACAACTCATAATTCTGTTTTAGATAATCTAAGAATTGTGGTATTGATAACTTTGGTAAATTGTATTAATTTTCACAAACACTTGGAATAAGGTACCCACCAAGAATTTAGAAATGGGGAAAATTGAATTGTCCTCTGCTGGTGTACCTGACACCTGCTGTTGAGATGGTAAGCCCCGGAAATTGACCTTCAGAAATGCACTGTTTAGCAGGCAGGCAGTGTGTACCTGACACCTGCTGTTGAGATGGTAAGCCCCGGAAATTGACCTTCAGAAATGCACTGGTTAGCAGGCAGGCAGTCAGGCAGGCATCTAGTTAGATCATCCCAAATAGCAGCTTCTGAAGGCACCTGATGGGATTCTCATGCTAATCAGGCAGTGCCACTTTCAGTGAGGTACCTTCATGGGACTCCAACTGGGGCACTGCTTTATCTGCTCCTTAGTGAGATTCCCTTCGCTTTGTGAGATATTTTTATACCTGAATTAAAAGAATGTGAGAACTTTGCCATTTTTGTCTAGGTTATAGCAATTTTCGATGGTGACAACTGGGACCTCTATAATAACTAAAATCTTTTATATAAAGAGCAAAATAATGCAAATCATTTTCGAGAGACAAACTGGCTCACCACAGTAATAACTCTTCAGTGTTTACTATGTGCCAGGTATTGTTATTAGTTATTTGCATACATTAACGTACTTAACCTCATGATAAATCTATGAGGTAGGTGCTATTTTTATCTCTATTTTACAAATGGGGGACACAGAGACACAGAAAGGTTTCCAATCTAATTCTTCTACATCTTCACTACTTTTCTTCCTCCCATGTAATTTTGAAATAAATCCCAGAAAATATATCATTTTATCAGTAAATAATTAAATTTGTTCATAAAAGATAAGGACTTCTTTTATAAATGTAATGATTCTACACTTAAAAAAATTAACAATAAATCCTTAATCAAATATCCATGTACTATTTAAATTTCCTAGATTGTCTCATGAACATTTTAATGTTTTATAGTTTTTGTTTAAATCAGGATCCAAATAAGGTCTATACATTGTAATTGGTTTGATTTATTTCTCATTTATGTGAGAAATACATGTTTTTTAGTCTAGCAGTTCCTCTTCCATCTTGTTTTTTCTTCCTTGCAGTTTTTTTGCTGAAGAAAGGTTGTTTTAGACATTTTGATCTTGGGTGTTCTCTGTCTTTGAAGTGTAAGTTTAGTACTTGAATGAATAAATTTTACTCTGAGTTTTCTTTTGTTTTTGATGAAATATTAAAATAAACCAGCAAGCCTTTCTATTTAAAAAAAATTGTTGACATACTTTGCAGAGAGGGGAAGCTGAGCAGAATTTCTCTTTTTCTTCTTTGATATATAAATTGACTCAAATTTAATAGTAATTTTTCTTTCAAGTCTATTGAATCATCTTTCCTCTAAAATTTGCTTTAAGATTTACACATTTTTATATATACACATTTAATCTGAAAATAGTTTTATCTATTTATTTACTTATATTTGTAGCCATTGGAAAAGAAGTTTGTCCGAGTTTCAGGAGAAGCAACTATTGGGCATGTAGAAAAATTCCTCAGAAGAAAAATGGATCTTGATCCAGCTTGTCAGGTACAGTACATGTGTGTAACAGGACAGGTGAAGTTTTGAGATTACCTTTAGTATATTGAAGAAAAAACTGTCTCTAGGATTTCATTCAGTGGCTTTTGTTTTATGATGTTGTAGACATTGTAAATGCTAACTGAATATTGATATACAGTGATTCCCACCGCATACTTTAATCACATTTGATTTACTGTCCATTTCTTACTGCCATTGACGACCATCTATTGGTGTCAGAGAAAAGCTGAAGATATGAGAAATTTTAAAGAGCTTCTAGGGCCTCAGTTCCAGCTCTTTTTCTTTTGGTAGTGGAGCAGAAGACTAATCATTCACTTTTCTTCAGAGGACATCCTTGCATTTATCAGTTGCTCAAGTATAACATGCAAGAGAAAAAACTAATATAGACCTTATTTTTAATGATTGAAAAAGATCTCCAATTCTAGCTATATAAATATCCTCTTGTTGTAAAATAGAAACTTCAAACCTCGTGTATTGTTGAACATAAAAATACAAATATATTCATAATTCTAGTTATGTGGGTCCAGTGAAAATGCACATTTATATAACTGCTTTTCATTAGTCAAATTTAAAAGGAGTTTTTGTTATTCTCCATCATATGTAAAATTTCATAGAGTAATTTTTATCTAAAATACCCTATTGGCTGTTGAATAAATTAATAGATATTTTAGAATAAAGAAATTTTGCTAGTGTTTTTAGTACCAATATCTATTGGTGCTAAATATATATTAAATATATATTAAGTCCAATGAAATGTAACTTCTCTAACTGAGCTTGACATATGCTGGCTATATCTCATGGAAACTGAAAACTAGAAATGACTTATCTATTATTACCCTGTAGCCATAACGTACTTGAGGTTATTCTCAGGCTTTCAGTTAGAAACAGTTGTTTAGGGACTCCCAGACAAAGAATTGTGAGTAATCCCATAACTGTATTATTTCTAAAAGTGGAAGTCCAAAGACTTGCCCCAATCATATAGAATAACTAAGAGATGATCCCCAGGAGGGTCCTCTCTAGGATATTGATTACTTCCTATGTGGCTAGATTTTGATCAGAGCACATTTACCATTTGTAAGTGTCACATTTGGTGATTTAAGAGATTTGATTGCCAAAGCTCTAATTTCTTTTTTTTTCCCTCCCTTAACTAATTTTTTAAATTGACAAATAAAAATTATGTATATTTATCATGTACAACACAATGTTTTGGAATATGTATACATTGTGGAATGGCTAAATCAAACTAATTAACATAGCATTACCTCACATACTTATTTTTGTAGTGAGAACATTTAAAATTTCTACTCAGCAATTTTCAAGAATACAATATATTGTATATTGTTATTTACTGTAGTCACCATATTGTACAACAGATCTCTTCTAAACTGATTTGATTATGTAAAACTGTGATTTCTTTATTCCTCATCATAGAATCCAAGGCTTTTTAGCATTTTGAAAAAAACGCTATAAAATTTGTTTCAACTCTTACTTTTTTCTGTCAGTTCTTGGCTCTCTAAGTAAACATTCCTTCCCTATTCAGCTGTTATAGAGCTGCTAACATTCATAAATTACTATTTCACCCAAATATTAAAATAGTGGAACAGAATTATCAAATATGCAGACCCATTAATTTGTGACTAAAATTGTTTAAGCCTTCTGAATCCAAGAGAGAGTCAATAAATGAGTTACTTCTAATATGAACAAAACATTGAGCTGGTTAATTAGTAATCAGAAAAAATTCTTGGTCACTTGAGCCTGCTGTACTGAGTTTCTTTAAACCAGTTAGTCTCAGGCAGGAAATGAGTGCTTTTACAGATATGTGATCTTCATATATGGTTATTTTCTGGCAAGAATGAATAATTACCAGGGAGCTAGCTATTGAATGATAAACCACCTTTAAAGTTGTTGTGGCAGATCAAAATTGAAAAGGAAGACAGTTCTGGAAGATAAAAAAATAAATAAATTCTTGAGATCATATGTTCTTGAGAGATTTAAATTGATTCAAAATTCAGAGATCAATAATTATCTGAATAGATTTCTGTCACATAGAAACCCCAATGTCTCTGGATTACCATGGTTGATTGAGTAGTATTCTGAACTCATTGATGTCCTATTGTATTTTGTTTTATAAATACTCTTGTGTTGTGTTCCTTTGTACATCATTTGAAATTTAGACCTTATTTTCCATTTATGAAATGAGATTTAGAAAATATACATCCCATTGATTACTAAAAATTCTTCGTATTAAAGATGTGATATTAGATTTTCTTGTTAATCCTGTCATAACTAATTCCACCTTAAAAGATAGGTTCATATTATTGTTACTTATTTGGTATATGACCTTAAACCTTCTATTAAATTCAGTTTCCAAATCTTTTTTTTTTAAAACTAATATATCACATGATGTATCCCTACCATTCATTTATTATTTATTGATGTAAGTTGAGCATCTATGTACTTGGCTTTAGGAATACAAAGATGAGACAAAATTCATGCTATTGGAGTACTCAGTTTTGTGGGAAAGATACACAAGAAACAACTTAGGAATACAAAGATGAGACAAAATTCATGCTATTGGAGTACTCAGTTTTGTGGGAAAGATATACAAGAAACAACTGACAATAGGATGTGATGAGCGCAACAATAGAGTGGTTGAGTTAACTCTGGAATGGCTTTGAAGAATCTATAGGAATTTGTGAGACAGACAAATAAAAAAGAACTTACTAGCAAAAAAGAGTATGTACAATCAAAGTAGAATGAGCCAGTGTGTATTATAAAAGCACGTTAAGTGAGAAATCCTGTCCTGGAGGTTTTAGTGTGATCTTGGTTTTAAAAAGGTAAGGACTTTTCCGCCCTTCATAAGACTACCTTAACAGTCTGATTTCTGCTCTGAGATTCAGAAATATTATTGTTATCCTTTCTTTCTAAGACTTGATACTCCAGAGGGTAGAGAGATTGTGCAGAAAAGAAATAATGTAACAGGTTGAGGCTCCTGTCTAGAAGGGCCTGCTTACAAGGTTGGCCCTTGGCTGTGATCTACAAACTTGGCTTGCAAAGAATTCCCTACACTAATATGCAAAGTTCCTGAACTGGTAAGGCTGTTTCACTGTGCCTAGATTGTACAAACAGTGGATCTATGGTGAACACCAGCTTTCCTTCTGGGAGTCTAGAATTTAGTAGTTGCTAGACAGAGAATGCCAACATGACCAACTCTCAGTAAAAACCCTAAATTCTGAGCCTCAAACAGGCTTCCCTGGGCAGAAACATTGCACATGTCGGCTGCATTTTTGCTGCTAGAGAAAAGAGTAATCAGATGGTATGTAGTGGTTGCTCAGTTAAATGCAACTACTTTTACTGTTCTTTCCCAACCATGCTGAAGGTTTAAGAGAGATTAACACGTTGGCAGTGTATAGGATTTATTAGAGTAAACAGAATTTGAAGGTAGGAAGTCTGGCTAGAAGGCAGTTTTAAGCAGTTTAAGCATAGGGGCAGCAATTGAAAGGTCTGATATGAACTCGAGATAGGAAGAAAGAAGCAGTAGAAGTTTGTAATTGATGGCATGTGAGAAGAAAAGAAAAGGAGAAAGAGGAGTCAGAGGTGATATTCTGGTTTAGAGGACAAGCAGAAATTTCATACCATACACTAAATTGGGATGTTAGGAGATGGAGCCAGTTAAGTGATTTATACTAATAAGACGTTTGAGGACCTGACTCTTTTAAGCAATGAGAAGGGAGTACTCAGTGAAAGACAGAGACAGATTAAAGATTTGCGTTTCTGTTTTAGCAAGTAAATATACTGTGGAATCTTATAACAATAAAGTATATAACTACACAACATCATTCTTTCTAGAGAATTCTATAGAAAAGTAGATATATGAGGGTACTTCGAAAAGTTTATGGAAAGATTCATATTATTTTTTAATTCTGTTTTTCCCAAACCTTTTGAAGTACGTTTGTATCTTAGAGCTTTGACATTACTGAAGGACTGAAAAGACCTTGTAAAGGTTGTTCATCCACAGAACAGTTTCCTTACTGTGTACTTTGTGTCAGTGTTATACTTTGACTTACATGGTGTTGTTGGAAAATGAGATATTCCTAATAAGGAAATTATTCAAATAGCTAACGATTGCCTTTTTAAGCATTAATACCTTTTAATCATTTTATCATGGAACTTTTTAAAAAATGTACTTTCCTGTCCACCTTATGCTGAATACATTGGACATAATTTAACTGCTTAGAGGTTCAAGGAAATCATTTTGTATATCAGTTATACTGGGCTGTTGTCCTGCTATGTCATCTAATGCTCTTCCCATGTTACCTAATTTCTTTTCATTTAAAGTTTCTAAAACCTTTCCTGAGAGTGTTTAATCAGTCTGAAATGAAATAGAAAAGTCCAATCTGGAAATAATTATGTTGATTTTTTTTTTCCCCTTCATTTCTTCAGATGGTATTTTGAAGCAGGAAAGCAATCTGACACTCTCTTATTTGCCCATAGGTAGATATCATCTGTGGTGACCACTTGTTGGAGCGGTATCAAACTCTAAGGGAGATCCGGCGTGCAATAGGTGATGCAGCAATGCAGGTAGGTCTCAGATTTTATCATGCCTATTCCAAACATGTTATGTAATGAAAAAGAAAAGTTCTGTGTTATTAATAAAGTTTTTAGAAGTCAACGTAACTATTTTGATGTTGTAATTAACCTATAATGTGAGTGGGAATATAATGTGAAATCCCCTATTCAGGATAATAAAAAGCTAGATAGAATCTACAATTTTAATGAAGAGAAAAGCAGGATAGGACCACATATTCTAATGTATCTCTGAACCTAGAGTGATAAATTGTTTTATGAGCTATATGGCTCTGAGAAGCTTATAAAGTACTAACAAAGATTTGATGAACTCTCATCTTAACCAAATTTTTGTTTAATTTGTTAAAAATATAATTCTTTGTTTTGGTGTAATTGCCTATGGTTATTTGACTCAACGGAGCAACTACTTAAAATAGATGCAGAATATTATAAGAATTATCTTCTCAGTGTGGATTATACAATTCCTTGGAAGAAGCAGAAAATATACATGTGCACATACTTCCATATATTCCAACATTTGATATGTTTTAATAGACATATAATAAAATGCATGAGTTTCAACACATGCACATACCTGTTTGACTCAAATCCCTTCTTGAAATATAGAATACTACCATCTCTCCTGGAGAGTTCTTTCATAACCCTTCCCAGTCAATTCCTCTCCCTACCATGGAGGCAACCACTCCTAGGCGTATACCAAGAGAAATAAAAACAGGTCTACACAAAAACCTGTTCATGAATGTTCACAGCAGCATCATTCATTCATATTAGCCAAAAAATTGAAACAACCCAAATATCTACCAATTGCTGAATGCATAAATAAAATGTCCTCTCTTTCTCTCTCTCTCTCTCTCCATATAATGGAATATTATTCAGACTTGAAAAGGAACAAAGCAGAGCTACATATTACAACATGGACAAACCCTGAAAACATTATGCAAGTAAAAGAAGCTAGTCACAAAAAACCATGTATTGTATAATTTCATTCATATGAAATGTCCTGAATAGATAAATCTACAGAGACAGAAAGTAGAGTAGTGGTTGACAAAGGCTGGAGAATTGGGAATAAATGGAGAGTGACTGCTAATGGGTATGGAGTTTCTTTTTGGGGTGATAAAAATTTTCTAAAATTGATTGCAGTGATAGCTTTACAATCTGTAAGTATATTAAAAATTGAACACTTGAACTGTATACTTTAAATGGGTGAATTGTGTATGTAAGTTAGATCTTAATAAAGCTATTTTTTAAAAAATAGAAAAAAAACTAAAAAAAAAAAAAAAATAGAAAAAAACTAATCTGCATGAGAAAAAAATCAGAACAGTGGTTGCCTCCATGGTAGAGAGAGGAATTGACTGGGAAGGGTTATGAAAGAACTTTCCAGGAGAGATGGTAGTATTCTATATCTCAAGAAGGGATTTGAGTCAAACTGGTATGTGCATGTGTCAAAACTCATGCATTTTATTTTATGTCTATTAAAATATACCATATGTTGGCACTCCACTAAAAGGGACCAGGACAAGGGTGGGACCAGGGCGAGGAAAATGCAAGATGAGCCAGGGGATTTCTCGTCTACTAATGGTCTGTTTATTACACATTTTTCCAAATTAATCTAATATATAATTGTAATGGAAATTAACCTACCCTGGTTTCTTATTTACCCCTTCATTCTAATTATTTTAAGATTGTAAAAAGGTTGGTATAAAGATACTACTACTACCGAACTAACTAAAGTTAAGTCATTAAAAAATTAAAAATAATTTATCTCTAAAAATTAATTTAGTTTATAAAACTAGTATACTTTCCTAAAGAAATTATTTTTATTTTCATTATTTTAGATTTTTCTAAAATTTTGTGCGAATAACTTTTATTCTCTATAAGTAGTCCAGTTTCCAATGTAACTAATTTGAAAGGCTAAGATCATTACTATCATTGTTGTATAAGTTACTGAACACATATATTTTTCATAACTATTTAATAGTACTTAGACTTTTTAAAGAAATCACAAGTTTTTGTAACTTTAATAATAAAATTTGTATTTAACTGAGCATTAGAAGGAGGTATGGCTCCATGGCTAATTGTTCTTCTGTACTGTAAGATTATGGGTTATAATTATCCTTCAGGCACACTTGTGTAATTGTGATAACAGTCAGTTTGTCAGAATAGCAAAGGTGATTGGCAATCAAATGATTTAGGTCCCTCATTTTTTAAATGGCTGTCATTATTAACTTGTTTTATGTGTGATTTAAGAAGAAGGAAGAGGACTTAGTTGTCTTCCTGTCTGTAAAAGTAACTAACTTTTTCATTGAGCATCAGTATATTAGTCTGTTTATGTTGCTAATAACAAAATACCTGCAACTGGGTGATTTATAAAGAAAATGAAATTTATTGCCTACAATTTTATAGGCTAGGAAGTCCAAAGTCCAGGGAACACATCCAGGGTCTTGGTGGTGGCAACAGTGACACAGGGTATCACATTGTGAAATGGTGGAACAGAGAGGACAGAGAGAGAGAGTAACCTCCTCATTCACTCTCCTTTTAATGCCCTACAAGCTATGACCATGACCACCATTTTGAATCCATTCACTATAGCATGGTCCTACAATCTAATCTCTTCCAGGCCCCACCTTTGAATTACCATAATAGGATTTCTGACCCTCTTAACAGTCACAGTAGGGGCCAAGTTTCTAATACATAAAACTTGGGGGACACAATTCAAGCTTCAGCGAGTTTGGGAGGAACATAATTCAATCCACTACAATCAGCCTGCCAGGTTAATTGAGGAACAACACATATATGATGTGAAATTGCATACAGTTAGAAGAAAGACATTATTAATAATAATTAACATTTATTGAGCTCTTACTGTATGCCATGTACTATAATCTAGGTGCAGAAGAATGTATGTTATCTTGTGTAAGCCTCACAACAACCTTGAAAGATAAGAGCAATTATTATTCCTTTTTCTTTTTTTAACTTTTTATTTTATAATAATTTAAGACTTAACAGAAAAGTTACAAAAATAACCCTAAGAGTTCCTATGGGCATATTACCCAGCTTTTTTTTTTTTTGGTGGCTGGCCAGTATGGAGCCAGCATCCTTTAATATTAATATCTTGTATAACCATAGTACAATCATCAAAACTAAGAAATTAACATTGCTACAATAGTCCTAAGTAAACTGCAGACATTTGGGTTTTGCCAGTTTTCCCATTTATGTCCTTTTTCTGTCCCAGGATCCAAATTCAGGATTCCAGATTACATTTAGTTGTCATGTCTCTATCTTCTTCCAGTTCCCAGTCCTTCTTTGTTTTTCATGACTTTGATGCTTTTGAAGAGTACTGGTCAGTTATTTTATAGACTGTCCCTCAGTTTGGATTTGTCAGATGTTTTCTCATGACTAGTTTGAGGTAATGCCACTAGTTTGGCGAGAATGCCACAAAAGCGATATGCTCTTCTCAGTGTATCATATCAGGAGATACATGATGTCAATAAGTCTTAATACTGGTAGGTTTTTCTCCGTGTAATTAATAAATATTTGGGGGTAGATACTTTGAGACTATGTAAATATCCTGTTTCTCCTCAAACTTTGCCCTCTAATTCTAACATCCATTGGTGGATCTTACAGATGAGGAAACAGCTGTATAGAGGTTAAGTAACTTTCCCAAGATCACCTGCCTAGTCAATGGTAAAATCAGGATTCACCAGGATTGAAAACATTGAACTTAAAGCTCAGGCTCTTAACAGAAGGGTAGCTGAGCAGTTTTTCAGGTGTTTATTTGATTATTGTTATACATTTTTAGAAACAGAGAACTTTATTGATAGTCTACATTTTAGTAACAAAGAAAGAATTCAAAAGAATCTCTATAAAAAATAAAAGCAAAATTGTTTCTTAGCTAAGTAAAGCATACTTAGAGGTTATAAGCAAAATATTGCCTGAAAGTTGTATAAGGTCAAACTTCAGAGCTCTTAGAAAATGATTATTGTCTTTTTAAAAATTAAACTTGATTAGAAATTAAGAATCTAGAAGTAAAATCCCAAAGTCAATGAGATGGGTAGAAAATACAACTTCAAGAAAAGAAAGTGGTTTTTTGTTTTTGTTTTTTTTTTTTGGTGTCAATGCTGTAATTTTTTTGCACAGAATGGAGTTGTGGGGGTTAATGGGGACATGGGGGGCCCACTATGGGGGCACTGCTGCCTCGACTCATCAGTACATTCATCACAACGCAATTCAAGGATTATTTACAGAGCACTATTCTAGACATATGGGGAGATTCAGAGATGAGCAAGTCTCAGAACTTAGTCTATGATACAATCAAAGTGTTCATTGATAACAACATGTTTCATGGAATCTCAGACTTCTTAGCTAAATGAGTAATTTACTCCCTCAAAGGGAAAGCTAGGATATGAGAGAGAGAATGGTAGGAGCCAAGATCTGGACAATCAGGGAATAAAATCATGTAGGACCTTATAGACCATGGTAAGAACTTTGGATTTTAATTGAGTAAGGTGGGAAACTATTGATTGGAGAGTTCTAAGCAAAGGATAGAAGTGACATAATCTGACATACATTTTAGAAAACTAACTCTGGTTGTATAGTTAAAAGTAAGAAGAATGTGAGTGGAGGCATCTAAATAGAAAATATAAATATACATAATATTTATATGTTCAGATATATGTAAAATATTTAGTAGATATCTAGATATAAATTTGTATTATAAGTAATTATCTCTTTTTTATACATGCATTGAAAAAGTTTAGAAATTTTGCAACAGCTTGCAAGCTATTCTTTCAGTTTTATATCTTCATATCAGTACATTATTTTGCAAAGTGATACTTTTCATTTCTGAAACACAACTATTATGTGAAAATTAACATTATATAAAATGTAATTTCTTTTTTTTTTTTTTTTTTTTTTTTTTTTTTTTTTTTTTTTCCGT